TGATTAAAAAAATAATTGGGAGAATTTTGGCGTCAAAATGTGGCATCACTCTTATTTACCGGATGCAACCAAGAGAAACATTTCCTCATGGATACCAGTAAAATATTATTTCCCCAACTGATCTCTGAGCAAGCCTATCGAATCTCTAATAAAAAGGTCTCTCCACCACTTGATTAAATATTTACAGTAATAAATGCGGCGCATCTAAAAATCTGCGCACGGAATTACAGCATTTCGAGAGACGTACAAAAATAACAAAATACACCAGCTCGACAAAATGTACCCGAGACAAGTAGTGAGTTGTCTTATTTTTTTTTTTTTTTTTTTTTTTTTTTTTTTTTTTATAACCCCCCTTCGTAACTGCCACCACCACCAGCGAGCAACGAAACCACTCGTCGAGGGAAAAAAGAAAAAGGAAGGAACTGAAATTCAACTCGGTATACGTGAGGGTGTGTGTGTGTGTGTGTGTGTCTGTTCCTCTTGCACAAAAACCATCACTCGAGCAACGTGCTCATCTTCGTTATCAATCAAGGGCAGTGCTGTTATGTATCAAGTTTGTTACTCATTATATTGAAAATTAGCCGGCTAATCTGCTTATTGCTCCCGGTTAGCCATTTTGTGACGCAAAGGAAAGCAATAAAAGCGAGGGTGTGATGCGCGAGCTGTTTTTCTTGCACTAAATATTGGCAGGTTCCCCCGCTTCAAGTGCAATATTTAAATGATTTTTATTTTTTATTTTTTGGTCTTGCTTGCCTTTGCGTGACGAGTTTTGCTTTCAAGCCGGTTACATTCGTGGATAACAGTACAGTATTCATTTTCAACTTGTTGCTAATTTTCGGGATCCGTAAACAAGATCCTGTGCTGTACTGTATTTCTTCTGGCGTTATTGACAGCGAAAATGTCACTCGTATTGATAAACTGCGCAATCCATCGTTTTCATTTTTCCCTTTCGACATTTTATTAACTTATAAATTGAAAATTGCTTCCATTCTTGGATTACAAAAAATAAAAAAATAAATAAATGTTCAATGCGTTTAAATCGTTGCATAAAAGTTATGCGGAAAAACGTGTAGAACCTGGGTCAACTTGATGATTGAAAAAATAATTGGGAGAATTTTGGCGTCAAAATGTGGCATCACTCTTATTTACCGGATGCAACCAAGAGGAACATTTCCTCATGGATACCAGTAAAATATTATTTCCCCAACTGATCTCTGAGCAAGCCTATCGAATTTCCAATAAAATGGACTCTCCACCACTTGATTAAATATTTACAGTAAATGCGGCGCATCTAAAAATCTGCGCACGGAATTACAATATTTCGAGAGACGTATAGGAAAACAACAAAATACACCAGCTCGACATAATGTACCCGAGCAAAGTAGTGAGTTGTTTTTTTTTTTTACGCGCGATAACAACGACATTTTTCCCTGACGCACCCTTCAATTAAGTCTCAATTTGTTGGACAGATTGGCAAAAACTCCCGCCAGTTCTGGCAACAACACTTCACGCCTGAGGGAAACTGAGCAACTTGTTGCCCTTTTTGGCATGTACAGTGCGTAAAATGTATACTGTGCACACCCCCGATAAGCGATAGGAAAACCCAGCATTATTTGCATGTTTCTCTTCTCCACAATTTCTTTTTTGCTCCAGCAAGAAAAGAAGGAAAGCATCCGCCATCATTGGCAACTAACTATCTGTCTTCCCAAGACGCATAATTAAACAAGTGTCTAGAGAGGCGAAGGAGGGGAGAAACATTGGCACGCGAAAATAACCCAGTGTGTGTGTGTGAGACAGAGGATTTATGAACCTTCTTCCAGCAACTTGTGATGATGTGGAATCGTTTCCGAGAAAAACCAGTAGCCGGTTTTCGCTGCTGCTGGTGCTCAATAATTAGCCCCCCAAAAATATATATATATGCAAGCAAGTGATTTGTACATTGAATGGAGGACCAGAAGGAAGAAAAAAAAAAGGAAGGAGCAGGAATAGGTTCTCTTTTATACCCATAAAAAATAAAGCACAGTACAGTATAGCATTGGACGGTGAATCAGCACATTCCTGAAATCCCCCAGCAGCAGGCCTGCGGGTCAAGTGCTCGTTGACACTTGCCACGCAGTAGTAGTCTTTGTGTAATAAGCGATAGACCACACGGGGTAAATTACCCGAAGTGTCACTGTACTTTACTGTACTGTGCAGTATATAGAATAAAGCTGGAGAGAGAGGGACACCCAAGAAGCCGGCTATTTTGCATCCTGATCCGCGTTATCAACAACGTTTTCTTCCTCCTCTTCCTCATCATCATCATCACCACCATCGTCCTCTTCTTCATTTTTAATATATTTTTCTTTTTTTTTTTTCTCGGACGAGGAAGTGAAGAAAACGTTTGACCCCCACGGTGGCGGCGGGGGGCTATACTCCCCAACTCAACTGATGACTGGACTCGGGGATGAGGAATGCAGGGAGTCACAAAAATTTGCCCAGGTGACTTTGCTGGATGATGCAGCGTCAAAGATATCCCATGTAGGCCTGGGGGGGGGGGCAGAGACAGAGAGAGAGAGATGATTCATCCATCCATGTGTGTGTGTGTTTGAGGACGAATGGGATGGTTCTAGACTCATCTTGTTAGATCAGGGCTTTCCAACCTCACTGGTCAGGTGGGTGTATCACTGGTGATGGTGATATGTTGGTGCTAGGTTCATGGTACAGTACTTGGGGCTGCTGCTGCTGTGGACACATGTTCCAAGTGGTACTTCCGGATCGATTTTTATTTTTTATTTTTCGGTATAGTAATAATGTTGAGAGAGAGCCCAACATCATATCCTGCAAATCTATAACTACTGTAATTACAGACTTGAAACTGTAAAAATAAAATTCCCTTCAAATCCAGACCATGTCTCACAATATGGGCACTTTGCCAACACTTTCAGAATTTTTTTTTTCTTCCAAGTACACTACTGTACTGTACTTTCATATATATCTTGAACAAAGTCAGCTGAACTGCCATATGATGAACAAGCATCAAATGAAGCTTCTGCTGTAAATTTACTCCAATTTCTTTTCCAGGACAAGTTAATTTTGGGCTTTTCTTCTTGGGGTTATCTATTTTATTTTTACAAATTGTACAGTTCGGAAAAATGTGTTCTGACTGTTATGATTCCCCCCCCCCCCCGTCTTTTTTCAACATTATTGGTCGTGTCGAAAGGGCAGATTCAGTGTGGCTTTCTTCGCTTATTTTCTGTGTTTCCAAGCAGATAAATACATTTCAAATGAATTCCTGGCAACATTTTCAAATTAAAAAAAAGGAAGAAGGAATATGAAATGTTCCCATCAAAGTCAATGGGGAAAAGTTATCCAGCACGCTGACATTAAACAGAGTCAGAGATGAAGCAATTCAGTCCGCAACTTGGACTTGACTTATATGTGAATCTATTTAGGCAGTGTTAAATTAACACTTCTATATACAAGTGGATGTAAGATAATAAAAATCTCATACCACGACTTAAAAAAGCAACAGAAAATATTTCGACAATTATCAACAACTCCTAATATGTTTAGGTTCCAAAACTTGTTGACCATATCCTTCAAAAAATGTGTCCAACTCTTCATAAAACAAGATAATATTTTTTCAACTGTTGAATAATAAATTTTTTAGAGCAGCCTTTTTCAACAACAAAAACACTACAAACTGTACATTCGGTCGCTTTTCCGTTTTCTTTTACGAAGACCAAATGCGAAGAATTTTAGTATTCGTTCAATTTTTTGAAAAAGCATCCGAGTATCGTCAGAAGTCTTTCGAAAACAGCCGGCCTTTTTATTTATTTACTTTTCAACGTTCAAATGCGCAACACTTCATCCAGCAACTTTCATTATTCTTTTTTTTTTCGGGGTGAAAATTGACAGAAAGAGATACGAATATTCATGCGGTTGTTGTCCAAGACTCTAAATGTTCGACCCCGGACGCAAAAACAAAAATGTGAAATCCGTGGGAATCCCAGGCTTTCAAAAATTTGTCAATTTCCCTCTGTTCTGGGCCGTCCCAGTGTAGCAGAACACCTGTTCGGGGCTCCAAAGACAACAACGATACCCGGAAATACGGGTTACGCGAACCCATTGGGAATAAAGCGTTTCCTGTTCGGAACCCGTTGGTTTTTTGGGGGCAATAAAAACAAAAGGTTTTCCTCTCCCATATCATTTCCCCCCTCAGGAAAAGACGCGTTAATTAGCAAGTCGTGACTTTTTGCTGACAGCAAATGAAAAAGACTCCGAACGAGAAAAAAATAAATCCGTTCGAAACAAGGTCTCTTATTTTTCTCTACCTTCAGGAGTCCAAGGGACGAAGAGGAAAAAAAAACCGGAAGAAGAAATTGCGCAAAACCGTGCGGTGATTGCCAATCAACTTTTGCCCTATTTTGTTACAAAAAACCCGAACCTTTTCACAGGAAAAAAAAAAAAGATTCGGTTGCACAAAAGCATCCTTTTTTTAAAATGTAGGTGCGGAAAGATATTTCCTCTTTCGTTTTCCCTCCGTTCGCCGATTTTGTGCTTCTTTCCAGCGAAAAATGCCTCGTAGTATAGAAAGAAATCCAGGCGGAATGACGTACGCGAATTTTCTGCAGATACAGTAGATGGTAAAATGCCGACGGCAAAGAAAAAATGTCATCGAACAGCAAAATTGCCTCCAATTACATGTGCCTCGTTAATTCGTTGGTTTCATCGGCAAATTGACCAAAAGTACAGCTTTGTTTTTCTCCGTGTGCATGCCTTAATTAAGTTTGCATCAATAAAAGCGGAGTAATGGACATGGTCTGAATGAAACGTGAAAATATTACGACTAATTGAGACAGTTGAGGAAATTGAATCATGATGATGCCGCGGGGGTTTTTTTTCTTTCTCCTCTCTCATCATCATGCCATATTCTGATCTCTGCTGTGCTGCATTTCATTGTACAATACCGTACAGTACAGTACTTGCATTATTTGCCGTGTGCCTTAAATACGGACTCACCTCCAGAGTTTGCCGAGCATCTTTGAGAGTTCTGCATTGTGCTGTTGCGGCTGCTGTTCTGCCAATTTCCTTCGGGCTGCCTGTGCCCACACCATGAAGGCATTCATGGGCCGTTTCACGTGCAGCTGCTTTTTGCTCGCTGCCGTCGTCCTGATGATGAAGCAACGCGGAAGGAGAAGAAGAAGAAAAGACAGAAGGTGTTTATAGATGGCAGGCAAATAAAAGGAGTGACGCCGATGAGATTGTTGCTAAAGTTTTGCTGCAATGAATGCGCGCATGCTACAATTCCATACGATAAGCGGTGGAGAGTTGGCACACTATGTGTCACTAATTGACCCGGAAATACAGTAGCTGGATTATGGCCACACAATTCTGAACGATGAGCCAAAACGTGGGATTCGCCGCGCGCCCGAATATAAGAACAATTTTTTTTGGCAATATCGGGAAGAAATCAGCAAGTTAAAAACTATTTTGAGCCCAGAAAATATTCAAAGCCCCATCATCCAAAGCCACTCTTCGAAATTTCACAATATTGGATAATCATCAGTCATTTATGGAAATGCAAGAGTACCTTGGAAAATATTCCCGGATTGATTATCGACTAATGATCAAAACTCACTGGCTTTGGAAAGAGGGGTGGGGGGGGGGGGGTATCTTTGAGCCAGAACTGCATCGATGAGTGAATGGGAGACCCCTTTCGCCAAGTACCGACGTGGTACTTGGCAGCTTACTCAGGCGTGGGTTTTAATTTATTGCTGCTCATGCGCGCATTTCTCACAGTTCGTGATCGACTGCACACCAAAAAGGGCGCATAATCAATTGAGCGCGTCCAAAAAACAGACAATTAAAGTGAAAGCCCAAAATTACACTACTGTATACGGCACATCAGTAAAATAAGCATGATTAACTAAAAACATTAGTGCTGCAAAGGTTCGTTACAATAAAATATGCAGTGGAATTTCCATTCTAGCCGTCGCATAATTACCGCATAGTCTCTTTGCTGAAATACGATCCAGAAGTCGATTTAAAAATATTTTAAATAAAATGAGATGTAAATAGATTTAAAGCATTTTCTGGAATAATACAAGCAGTTTTAGCCTGCGCTTTTCAATAAAACTGCACACAGAAACTAGAACCGTTATTTATATTCGCATTGAACTCAATCGATATTATATTTTTGGAGTTTTGCACAAGTTCTGTAAATGATGAAAATCCAGCCCGAACCGCATCCGGAATTCATTCGAAAAAAGTTCAAAACTCTCTCTTCAAACTACAGTACAGTATTTCATTTACCGGAACGGATCATCGTGCACGTAACTGTCTGAATTCTAAAATTCATGTAATGAAAGAGCCGTGCATTTTTCTGTAAGAAAACGGTCTGTCCAGCAGAAGATGGACAAAGAGCTGATGTCAATATATACAGTGATGCGAAAAAAAAGAAGAAATGATTCAACTTGAAAATACAGTTTAAATGACCAACAGCAGCAGCAGCAGCAGCAACAACAACAGGAGAGAAGCCATTATCATGAGTTAATGAGATGGACATGTACCACAAGTATATACAGAGAAGAAAAAAAAATATATATATATAAGCTCCGCCTACAGCAGCCCTGTTCGTACGGATTATACTGTATATACTGTACAGTACAGTACTAACTTTTGCACCACCGGCTCGAAGCTCCAATCGTGGCGCTCCAGGACCTTGGCAACGGTTTCCAGGATGTCCACCTTCTCGTCCACTGCTGGGTCGTCCCTGTCCATCAGCACGGATGATGACGGCGCCTTATTATCATCGGTGCTGCTGCTCAGCAGCAGGTCGGGGCTCCGCGAGAACGCAGCACCCGGAGAGGCGCCGGTGGTGTTGTGTGAACTCACGAGGGCGGCGGAGAAGCGGTGCACTACGGAGCTGAGTCTGGCGGGAACCAGTGGTTGCTGGTGGTGGTGGTGGTGGTGTTGATGTTGGTGGTGGTTCCCTGCTGATGGCGGTGCCCGACGGTCGGCGACGCCGTGATGAGCAGCCGGCGACGCGTCTCGGTCCGACTCGATGCCGGACTCGGGCGAGTGGAAACTCACTGCTGCTGCTGCTGCTGCACATTGCTGCTGGTGGTGCTCGTCTTGCTTGGCAGAGGTCATCTCGGACTCCACTGAGAGTGCACACACACACGCACACACGCACTCTCACACACACACACTCACACGGAGAGAGAGAGGGAGAGAGAGTCACGAGATGGAACACAAACTCACACTCCAGAAGAGACACTCGATTTTTTCTTCTTCTTCTTCTTTTTGCTTATACAGCAGTACGTGCTTATCTGCGAAGAAATAATCAATCAACCAGTGCTTGATTTTGACGCGATGGACTGAGTTATTTGCGGGGATAACAACAGCGCCTGCTCATCATCCGATTCCTTTTTTTTTTCTATTCTGTCGAGGAAGCTGGGTTTATATATTTCAGGGTTATTATTTCTATCTGTTTTTTTTCTTCTTCTTTTTCTTTCTCATTTTCGTTTTACAATCACAGTACTTTTTTTCTGTATAGATTTATAAAAACTATTTCATTCCGTTTAACCTTTCGGAATCCAAGTCATCTGTTAAATGCAAATCGGAAATAATGTATTATCTGGATAAAAAAATTGAGGAGTACATAACTACAGTCGAACCCCATTAAGACGCCCCCCCAGTAAAGCACCACCCTTGGCAACCGCCGAAATTTTGAATGATACAAATCTCCTCAATGTTAAATGCCATAGAAAACCTCAATACTGTAAGATGCCAACTGCCATCTGCCAGCAGTAGTGATGAAACAAAAGGGATGTTTTGTATTTCTTTTGTCTTCATTACAACGCCAACATTGGGTATTTTTTTGTCCAGGATCTTTTATTGGTAAGAAGAAAACAAAATGGCAATCTTCATTTTTCAAAAACTTTGAACTTTGAATATATGCACCTAATTTTAAAATTTGAATAAATTGATGCAGAAAAAATTATTTTCTGAAGGAGTAATGCAAAAATCACAGCAATACTCTTTGGAAAATTCCTGAAGTTTCTGGAAAACGTGTATTTCTATTACAGTATTTTTTAAAGGAAAATCAAGTATTTTTGATAAAATGATTTAAAATATTTGATAAACCGCCAAGCCCTTTAAACTGCCAGAATTGCTCCGGACAAATGGTGGCGTCTTATCGGGGTTTGATTGTAATTAAGCAATTAAAGTAGCTGCAATGAGCAAGGAATCTGTGGTCCACCATACATACAGATTTAGAATGGAATATAAAATGGCAGTCGATGAGGGCAACCTGGAGAAAATAATTTACGCGAAAGCTCGTCTTCTAAATTCCAGTGCCGAAAAGATAAAAACAATTGAAGGTCCTCAATTTCAATTTCCGGCCAAAACCGTGCGTCTTTTTCAATCAGCAAATCATGCATGGTATTCATGGAGAATAATAAAAAAGAAACACCAATACAAACGGATACTGATTCTTCCAACATAAACACGCATACAATCCACTTCACATTTAATGATGTGTAATAGATGAAAATATTTCCAACAGCTTTTCTACACGGGAAATTGTAATTCATTCAGATTCCTACTCGGCAGCTGCAGTAGGGAGAATGTATATTTGGAAATTTAGTTTTTCGTGTAGGGGACGCGCTAATTAAATTTACAGGTCAGTTTCTGGGCGAAGGTTACTTTTTAAAGTTCTCCAGCAATATGATACTCCAATTGATTCTGAGTGTAGTGAATAACTTAATCATCACGCATTATACATTACCAGATTCGTTCCGCGATTGGCCGCATGTTTGAAAAACTGTGCTCGAAAACGCCGGCGCAATCGATATTTTATGTATCTGCCACGTACCCCGTCTTAATTTCTTAAATGATTCAGTAAATAATGTAAATTATGGCCCAGTATTGAATTTATTTGTAAGAGAAAGTTTCTCATAAATTTAAAATCGGTAAAAATCAAACATTATTCACACGGAACCCGAAGGACTGGTATTTTAAGGCAGGATTTCCGAGTCTAAAAATTCTCTGGAGAGACTTCGGCATTTCTAACCATCATTCACGAATTGGCCACATTTATCTTCATTGAAATTCCTATTTTTTAACGGATTTACATTGCCGCTGAAGAGGAGTGTTTTCCAAAAGTAATTTCATCCATGAAATATCTGTGTTCGGTTCATATCAGCGGCATAAGAATATTTCATGGCCAACTCTACTACTGTACTAACAACTCTGTGCAAAACAAATGGACTGATCCCCCCCCCCCCTGAAAAGCAATCACTTTCTTTTTCAATGCGGTAAATACTGTATTTGATAAACTCCGAGCGGAAGGATTTAGTTATTTTCGCTTCGTTTTCATGTTCTTTTTTTCGTCGCACCGGTGAAACTGTAACTTGAAGACGGGTGCAATATGACACGGAAATTTCAGGCTTGAACGCGACACCGGCACGTCACTTTTGCAAAAACGTTAAGAGGGGGTAATCCGACACTGTCGACTGTCGACGCCGAAAGAGACCCCTTCTCTTATTGAGAGATTGAGAGAGGAAAACCTACACACACATAGAGAGAGAGAGAGAGAGAGAGAGAGAGGAAAAAAGGATGACGAGGAATGAAAGGCACGTCGTCACCGGAATTGCGATCCACTGAACATTCGCGGTATTATTTCTTTCTTCCTTGAGCAACGTATACGCGGCTCGTTCTTCAAATGCATTCACTTTTGAACTTGAAAAGGTTATTTGAAAAAATTTCGCAATCGAAAAAAAAAGAATAGATTTCGCGGGGAAAGGAGGATTTTCAAGTATTGAAAACAGCCCTCGTTTTTCTCATTCTGCCATGGAAAGAAGAAGGCGACCAACACGGAATCCGACCGACCGTATGCAAAGTGATCAGGGTTCTGTCTGAAAACGCACCTGGGAGAGAGCTCCGAAGCCGAAGACGACTCTAGCCACGCCTCTGTTATGGAAGCAACTCCCACCCCCACCCACTGTTTGGTACGGCCCTCCAATAGCCACGCCTCCCATTGCGAGGCTTCGATGCTTCTTCTCCACCTGTGGCATTCAAGGCCCAGCAGAGTTGCCATCGATTCTGTGCTTCAGTTGGTTGGTTGGTTGGTTGGAACCACGGTACTGTACTGTATAGTGGTATTCTCGAGCAGGATTTTCCAATTACTGTACAGTGCATGTGGAAAAGCGAGTGTATTCAAAAGGGACTTTTACATGTATGTTGATGATGTGTCACATTCAATCTTAGCCATCTGGATATGATGGAGAGAGAGTTGAAGCCCTGACGAAGCTTCAAGAGGGTTAAGCTGGTATTGGTACTCAACCACAGGTGGTGTGTATACAAGGATTGTGTCTAGAAACCCAGTGAGAAAGAAAATGTCTGTTTTTTTTTCTTGTCCTGAAGTTATCCAAACCAACTTATCTCAGAACCTTGCCATTGCGTAAATTGGACAACAATCAGACAAGTTGGCTTGGATAACTTCGGATAAAAATCAGACAAATTGTCCAATTTGTATCCAAGAGTCATGCAAAAGCAGTTGTTGGGGCAAAAGATGCCCCAGTTCCCTCCAATTTTTTTTAATCTTACAAAATTATATTCTTTCAAAAACTTTTTGGCCCAACAAGGAACTGACATGGCTTTTTGGAATAGGTTTTGTCATGCATTGCTTTCCAATCTACTTTGATCACATGCCAATTGTGTTGAGAAAACCACCGGATATTAATGTAATTAATTGGCCTTCTTCCTTATAAGCCTTATATACTGTACCACTAATTATACAGGATTCCCCTTATCTAATTCAATGTATATCAGGAGTACTTTTATTATTAAAGTAACAGATACCCCACTGGGGATTGAACCCAGGAACTCTGACTTGAAAGCCTAACCTCTACTTAGGTAGTTAGCTACAGACCACTTCATTGAAATCCCTCCCTCATAAATGCAGCTTTATACCTTTACATCAACAGCTCCTGGCAGGCAAGTTTGGAGAACTTTTTGACATGTTCTCCAAAACATGTCTGGGAAAATTGGAGAACTTGCAGACAAGTTGCTGCTGTGGACAATTTCTCCAAACTTACTCGCGTGTCAACTGTCAAGCAAGAAAAGAAAAACTTGCATTTTGTCAGGAAATTCTTCCTGCCGCAGGAGTACAAGATAAACTCCTCCCCTCATCAAAAACTGAAAAATGTCTCTCTGTTATCTCTCTCTCTCTCTCTCAGATGGACGCCTCTTCCTCAGCATTTCCCCCGGCATAAGACGATAACAACTTGTGTCAAAGACACATACGCACTCGAGGTGCCATCATTCGAATCACCTTTCTGCCTCCCACAACATGTGTTTGTCAAAAGATAATCTCCCGGCAAGATCATAGATAAATATTTCCAGAGTCAACACAGACTATATAGTTGCTTTAGCAAAAGACGGAAGCACACCACTTCTTTGCTGCTCAAGAATTTCTTTTTTTCTTTCTCTCTTTTTGGGCGAATACCAATTGTTTTGTGTGTGTGTGTGTGTGGTGAGAGGAAATCAATTTAGTTTTTGCGGGGCCCAAATAAGGTCTGATCATCTTTTGGCAACGCTGATGGCGGAGAATAAGAGAGGAAAGTGGGCGGGACGAATAATGCGTGTATTGTCTCGGAGAAGGAAAAGGCGGGCGGAGCCAATTTTGCATTTGCTTTGTCCTGTCCGACTCGACGGGAATGGCGGGAATGATGAATTATTGACAATATGAAGGAGACATGTGCAGTACTTTGTCCTCGACATACCAGTGCAGTACTCAATTTCCTCAGAGACAAAAGGATCAGAGATTTTTCCTTCGGAAAACCCGACGACGCTCGTCATCGACTTCCGTTGACTCCACCCATATTTTTAAGCGTATTGGTTTCATCTCTCTGTATCATAGTATATTATTTCTGGAAGGGATAAATTATTGGAAACCCTCGGTATAATAATATTGATGATGATGATGAGGATGTCCTGAAGCTGGCGAGAAACACAAGACCCAGTTTGCCGACGACAGGCGAGCAGCAAAAGGCGCAAACACTCCCGACTAAAAGGCGGGAGATAAGAACGGAAACCCCTCGGACCAACGACCGGATGCCGCCATCCATCAACAAAAAGGGCTGTGAAGAGGCGGCCAGCCGCCGTGGCGTCCTTAATTGGGGCGATGTGAAGAGAGTGTGTGTACCAAGTACAGTGCAGTTGAATGGATGACTCGAATAAGTCAAACACCTCACTACAATATGTTGAAATGTTTCAAGTCTCGTCTGTCCAAATTCTCCTTGAAACACTAGGCAATAAAATTAAACCTCCCTATAACATGAAGGCTTTCCCTCTCAAACCTTTGTACAGTAACAGGAATTTTCTGGAGGCCTTTTGGCTAGTATTTTTTTTGTCACACAGGGAAGATTAAAAAAAAAACAATCGGCATTCAACTTGATATGTAATTTGAAGGTAATTGAAAGACTAATTGAGTGAGCCCATTCCTTCAACCAACTCACCCAGAAAGCAATTTGAGACCCAGAACATCACCGATTACAATTTTAGGAATATTATATAAAATGTAAATCCTGCGATTCGAGGCGGCAACCCGTCAGCCAGTTACCTGTTTAAAGCAAACGCAGGTGTGGTTGCTGGTGTCTTTTTTGTTTTGTTTTTTGTTTTGTTTTTTGTCTTCTTCTCCACCTTTCTTTCAATCTACTTTCCAATCACACAAACACAGACACATTCGAGATATTGATCGGAAACTCATTTAGTCGAGCCTTGCCCGGGTTTTCGACAACATTCCGGGGAATCCTCGGGAACCCGTTTAACACGTGGTCAGATAAGCTCGTCGGAACAACGCCGGGCTTTTGTTTTGCCACAACCACAACAGTGTCATCGCCAAACCGACAACATTTTTGTCATTTCTTTCGAATTCTCAGATAAAAAAAAAGGGGAGCGGAAGAGTGAATGTTTTTCCGTGCTGTAAGTTTCTGGGTCACGTTTCCTTTCAAACATTTCCGATGAACGAGCAACAAGTATTACTGCATATTCCTTAACATACAGTATAAGCAAGACAACTGGTCAAAAATAATTGACTTTGACCTCTGAAAACGAAACAAAACAGATGCTGGATCGTTTTATCAAATGCAAAAAGTTATTTCGAACGAAGATGCCCGTGATGTTATGGCTCTTTAAATAAATCACTATTCACTCCTTTTTCGAAAAGTGCTCGAGAAAAACGGTGATTCCTAAATTTATATTAATACAGTACTGTATTACTGTATCTTTGTGTAGTACAGTGCTATACCTATATTATAGTACTGTATTTTGTTTCTTCTTTTCGTATTTTCACCAACTGCGAAAGAGTTGTTATGAGTCCAGTACAAACACATGTTTCCATTTTGTTCTTCTTGCTTGGAAGAACCCTTGAGTAGCATCAAGAGGAATGCCAGTGGAAAAATGAAGCCAAGAGTCGACTTAGCTTATTGGAAATAAAAGAATGCAAAATTATTAATCATTTTTAATTCAAAAGATTCTTCAAGAATTTTTCGCTTTCTGTGTGCTCGTGTGTGTGTGTTTGTGTTGACCAGCTTTACGCCGAAAATTAGCTGATGTCCAGGTCTCGGCATTATTGGAACAGATTAGACGCAATGAGGAGGAGAAACTTCAAACCCGAACAAGTGGGAGAAATCCAACACCCGAGAAGACAAGTGTATGTACGTAGGTACGTGTACAGTAGAGTCAAGTGCGGGTTGGGAATGTTTGGACAAGTGCTGGTAGGGATTTCAGGGCACTTATTGCCAAAAAAAAAAGAAAAAAAAGAGATTTGAAATAATAGAAAGGTGCTTCAAGAGGGTCCGAGGAGTTCGTATCCCCACGTACGCCACAGCACCTCAATAAGAATGAGACGAGGGTCTCTACACAAAGTTTGAAAACTAAAAAATTCGGTTGCCTTCGTTATTATCATTTACTTTTATCTGTGCAAGCCCTGTTGTGAAACATGAAACTTTTGCCTGATGCGTCTTGTTTCAAAATGCAGAATTTTCGTCTATTTGGCGTGAATGAGGTATTTCGTAAAAAAAAAAAGGCTGTCCTTGGAATGACTAGTTAAGATACAGGAAGTACAGTTGATGGAAACTGCCTTATCCAACGCTACATAACATGAGTTGAGCAGAAAATCTGAACTTGTGAAATCATGTGTGAACCAGAAAAACTTTTTCGTTCTTGTACTTTCCCTAATTCTAATCTCGATGTAGAATACAGTGAAAGGAACGAAATTAGTCCGTCATTATAAATAAATAAATAAATAAATTGCTCCGTGCGCAGTCTCCTGTCCTGTTGCGATGATTTATTTCAGTTCATTCCTTTACATCGTGGTTTTGTTGGAATAATTATTTGAGTTGACAGGGAAACACAATTTGGTAGGGGTGAAAGTGGTCTCATAATTGATGGGAATTATGTTATTCTGGTCAATAATTTCACACCCGTTCTTAAATTGAGGTGCCATTTCTTGCTTCCTCAGGGGTTACTCGTGGTGGTTCAATGCAGTCAATCAAGTTCCTGCATTATAAAGTTGGACAATAAGAGGAGGGCAAATGTCATTCAAACTGCGCTGGCTCCTTTTGAATGGATGAAAGGGAATTATTTCGTGACAGCCCAATATCCCCCCCAGCATGCAACCCAACAGGGTTCATTTCTGTGTCCAGCACTTGTACAATAATACAGTATATAGGGTACCACCACCACCACGACCACCATCAGCACCAGAAGCGGGGGAGGCGACTTGGAATGAAAGCTGACCCCAGCAGCAGCAGCAGGACTTTGAAGAGTCGAGTGCATTGCATATGATGCTGGTGTTGACCTGTTGACCCCCGACGATGAGACGGGATCCGAAAATCCCACCCACCCACACGGAAGGAAACCAACACTCTTGCCCGTGTTTCCGCAACAACACTTTCCCATGATGAAGGTGATGGTGTGTGTCGCAGGGAGAAAAACTTCCTGTCGTCATCGTCGACGTCGTCGTCTTCGTCGTCGTCGTCGTCGGTGGCCGTCGACAACAGGAGACGGG